TAAATAATTGAATGGAAATATTAATATTTTCACCGAAACTACCCTGCTTTCTGTGTAAAGTGTCATAATAATGGTAAACAATTTGCTCTTCAAGGCCGGGTGTTTCAGACATGGCTAATTTCAGTTTATAGGACATAGAGTGCTTTTAGTGAAGGTTTGCTGTTACATTGCCCTCAAAAACTTGGGTCGACCTATAAATGAGGTACATATTGTAATAAATTAATGATTTCTTGGTCAAAAATCAGGGCCTAATTTCATACACTCCAGGTATTCTTATAATGAGTATATACGTATGGGTAAATGAATCTGTGCATAGACTTTAATCCTCATCCTTGCTGGGTGACATTCCATGATACAGGTTCTGTATACAGTAATAGGTGTTCAAAAATATCCCAAATCCCGACCCCAAAGCCCCAAGCATTTAGGATAAAGGATAACAACCTGTACTTGTAAGCTTACATGCAGTTGTGTATAGTATCACTTTACAGCATTTAAAACATTAAATACACTCTACCCATTAGCGAATTCACATTTAAATAAATTTTTTCGACAATATGGAGCAGTTTTATTGGCTTGCCGCACAGACATTCTTCTTGTGTTTAAGAATATGAAATTCATGATGTAGATTTGTTCAAATACATCAGAGGCGCCTGTACTGTACTTGTACTGTACTGTTTTAAATACTGATTAAGGATCTGGATTTGGTATGCAAAATTTTTCATTAATTAGTGTTAATTGAGACTTTAATTAAAACAAATTTGTTGTAGTGTATTCATCTAAAAGTGACATTTATGTAAATGAGTTTGTGTGCATGTGTATTTATTGAAGAGTATTATTTGTATATATGTACGGTACTTGTATTTGTTTAAAAGTGTGTGTGTGTTTCTTTGTATAAATGTTTGACTGTTTTAGTGTAAAGGTGTTTGTGTTGTCAAGTAAAAACCATAAGAAGTTGTGTAGCATAAGGTGTGACACAACAAATCTGAAGATTAGTTATTGCTGAAACTTGTCTCAAAAATGACTTAATTCTAGATGATAAATAAATATTTACTTTATTTTGCCTTAATGGCCACCCACTAGAGGGGTGGTCAGGGTGGAGGAAAGGAGGCCAGTGGTCTATGGTGATCCTTCCATCGTTCTTACAGTCTTGTTCCGGGTTATTTATTCTGTATGATGTTGCTGCTTAGAGTCAAGTGTCCCATTATTTTGGTGGTGCGTGACATTTAATCTAGATCTTCATGTTTTCCTCCTTTTCAAGAGTTGTGCCCTGTTGTGTTTGGTCAGAAGGGTTGTTAACCCAAGGCCCTCAATTTATTTGGATAATCAAGATGACATAAATCAAGAATCATCTTAGTCACTGTGTTGAACCTTTCTAAGGACGCGGTTTTTCTGAGTGAGAAGGTTTGACGCCCGTACCGTGTACAGTAATCCAGACTGGGACGCATGCGATATTTTGTACAATTGAAGGAGCATTTGCTCATCTTTGTGTTTAAAGGTGTGCTTTATAATTCCCAATTGTTGGTTGGCTTTGTCACTGTCAGTTCCCACTCTCTAGACCACTGCTTCAGTGATTGATCTATCATAATACCAGATCTTTCACTTTATTGAAAGTATCCAGAAAAGTACATAACAGAATAGTGGGATTTGGGTTGTATCTCACACACAGTCTTGGTATTTGCATTGTTAAAAAATATTTTGTTTCAGTTCCAAGACCATTTGAACACCTTTGTGAAGAAGTCTTTGCATGGCTGCAATGGTCATGATTGTTACCTCTTAAATACAGGTATTTATGTCATCTGCAAACTTGACAATATGGCTCTATATATTTTCATCTATATCATTTATGTACAGTAAAAACCTCTAAGGCAGACTAATTGAGGAAGAGATAAGAGGTTGTCCACCTCGAGTAAATTTTTTCCTAAAGACGCCATTTTAAACAAAAATGAGTAACACATCAATGTTCTTAGTGAATAATGTTTTCTAATCAAAATTAATTTGAAAAGTAATGTACACAAAGTACTGTACACTTACTTTAGTCACTGACATGGCCATCAGCTTAACTCACCACCCTTATGGGTATTAGACACTTTATTAGAGGCTGTTTACGTTTAATTTTTTCAATAATAATGAAAAAATATGAATGGTGCTTCAGTCTATGGTGAATATACTAAATTTATAAAACGACACGATATAAAAAAATACAGTAGTATTCGTATTTAGAAATAACTTGTATATTCCTCCTGTAGCCATAGTTTTCTTTTATGTATACAGCAAATGTGAGGAATAATACCAACAAAACTTACTATATTGTATTGCTAAAAAGTAAATAAAAGCCAAATGAAAGTTTAAAACACAGTCTCCATTTGTGAAATTCTGTTTCACTAGAGTAACGTAAGATCAGCTGGGATTGATTCCTAGCACCAGCTTCCCCAACACACACACACACACTGACCGGTTTCCTAACTCGTGGTAGAAAGAACTGTCAATTCCATTCATGTGTTTGCCCTAGGACACTATTTTTACATTTTTCACATTATGTATGTAGGATGATAAAAGATGTAGCTTCTAAAGTAAAAAAATAAGAGAGTGGAAAGTTTAGTATCTACCCGAAAATACGAAAGGAAAAACAAACTTATGTAACACCACAGCTTGGCCCAGTAGCCTGGTGGTTACAGTAATGAGTCTAACCTACAATGCTCAAATATTGTTACACTATTATATCAGTAAACACTAGAATAATAATAAATCCAGTGAAATATAGCAGGGAGCAGAGGAGAAAGCCATAGACTATTACCAACTAGTCACTTACCGCCCCTGGCTCTCACACAGGCTTATGATTGAAATACAGCACGAGAGAAATACATACAGTATCTTGTAGTATAATTTGAAAACAGGATAAACAAATTATATAAACCATATATTTACCTATGATAACATAATAAGAAACATCATTACTAGAGTGAGTGAAATATTATTCTCAAAACAACAGTTGATAACTCTTAGGCACCTGTGTCCCACTTAAGCGATGTCTTTGTTTATTTTAATTTTTAATTCTTTTGGAGCAAACAATTGTTCAGCTTAAGCAACAGTCCTCTCTCAAAGGTCCACTCTTAACGAGGTTTTACTGTATATTCTGCAAACAGGATGGATTCAAGGGTAGATCCGCCACACCACTGAGAACCTTCTTCCATTCTGATTGTACACCATTTATGACCACCCTTTGTGTCCTGTGTTTGAATCCAGTTGTTAATCCACTTCAAAATTTCGTAGATGTGCCATGTGGTTGGATTTTAGAGACTACCTGTGAATGTGGGACTTTGTCAGCCACTCTAGAGAAATCCACGATACTCAGCGGGTCAAAAGTTTGCTCTGGATCCCAACAGATAAATTAGACACCCAATATCAGACGAGAACAGTGGAGTCAGTTCAGACTGTTTCACCATGGGATAAAATTATGACCTCAACTGTACAACACGTCCACTGGCAAGCCTTGATCCATGTAGTCTGTTACCATTTCTGCTAAAATGAGTAAATGTGTTAAACAGAATATCTTTCCATGAAACTGTGTGGATGCATGATCAGTCAGGTGTTGGAAGAAGGCATCTCCCTTAGAGCTTACAGACACAGTGCATATATTGGAGTTGACATAAAGCAAGTGTAGTGGTTGTGGGTCAGAGTTAGTTTTTCCCTCGACATGTGGACCTTTGTGACTCAATTAGTTGTCAAGAGTAGTACAGTATATACAGAAGGTTTTTTCTGGTGGGTCCTGGTCATGTGTTGTGTGAGGAATGAATCTTGAAGAGGTCAAGCAAATTCTCTCCAGTTTGTGTGGTAAAGAGTCAACAATCCACTGTCTCATAATGAGAGCTTGTGTTCTGATGACTATGGAGTCTGCTACTTCAGAGGTCGAGTCAGCCTTTATAACACAAACCTACTGTCACCTTTGCTTTTGTTTTATGCTTTAGTCACATCAAATAGATTCAGATTGTATAATTTTATTTAGCTCATCATTACTGGTTACTGTCAGGTGCTCCTAACATACAGTGCACAGTAATACACTACCACCAATTTGTAGCCCTGTCCATTCTGAGGGAGGGTTGATACCTGGTAGAAAAATTCACCGTGGGAACACATCTTCTAACCCCAGGATTTCTGATGTCTGGCTGTTGTGTGTCCACTCAGCAGCAATCTAATAGTCCAGTCTAACTAGACTTAGGCCATTCCCAAAATAAACACCAGTTTTCTCTGTGTTGTATTAGTACAATAATATTTCAGCTGCCATTAGTGATGAACAACTCTTATACAAAGTACACCACATTTCTCTACTGTCTCTTTCCTGCATGAAGCTGTTTGGTTATTGTTCTCTCATGACATGTTGTGTTAGCCTAGCTGCCACATTATCACTGTGGTGTTGATGTAACTATTTCCTATAAGTTATTTAATACTTTACACTGATTGTTGATACCAAGTGTTATTTGTTGCTTTAATTTATCTTATGCCCTTTTTATCAGACTTATTCTCACTGTCTCATGATCCTCTACACTACAGTCATAATTAAATCTTTTTAACTTGGTGTGTGTTTGCATGTTTGTTTGTTTTAGTGTACATACAGTAAAAAGCATAATTAGCTACACCTGAGCTGAACTGAACTGATATTCCAGCCCAGGTGTGCCACAAGAAATATGAAGATTAGCTATCACTGAAACAACTCTAAATTAACCCAATATGTATTTGTAGCTATATTTAGTGTTTTCAGTCTCATACAGAGAAGTTAATTCAGTCTTTAAGTTTATTATCAACTTTTAGCTTCATTTTCACAGTATTACATTGTTTATCAGTTATGACATCTACAAATACTACTGTTTATTTT